GAACCCGGGGTGAGGGAAGGGTGCCCCTGCCAATGGCAGGGAGTGGAACTGGATGAGCTTTAAGGTCCCTCCCAACCCAAAGCATTCCAGGACTCTATGATCACTCTTCTGATGTGATTACCTTGCAGATTTTGTGCCTTGGCAAAACGTCGAGTCGAAGGGATCCCAGGCAGGAAAACCATCATGGTTCCTCCCTCAGAGGAGTACTCCACCCCTCTGCACCGCAAGGTGCCCGAGGACACGGACCCCGAGCTGGTTTTCCTCTGTCGTCACGTCTATGACTTCAGGCACGGGCGCATCCTGAAGAACCCGCAGTAGGATCTTTCGGAGCACAGCGGGATGAGCGGCACCGGAGAGCCAACAGCCTGGACACCTTGTGCTGCTGCGGGTGGGAGCGCCCACCACTCCGTCCCAGGCCTGAGGGGCGTGGCAGGAGAAGCAGAGCCCTGTGGAGGGAGGCAGCAGTGGAAAGCACAGCACTTCGTTAAAGCATAAATGAAAATATATACGTATAAAATAAATATATGTATATAGATATAGGTATTTGAATATGGAAATCTATATCTATATATGTATCTAAAGATGCATTTGTTGGGAAGGTTTGCAGGGGATAAATGCCAGGAAGCAGTGCAGAGCCATGGCTGGGGAATGGTGGGAAGGTGCAGGAGGGATGTGTCAGTGCAGCTGTGGTTTTCGGGCCCTGAACTGAGCCCAGTTCCTTGGCAGAGAACAGGACAGACTGAGGATTCGCAGTGGGTGAGAGCTGCTTCAAAATACAGCTTTGGGAGCTGCCTGGATATTGAGTGGCCTTGTGTCATGCTTGGATAAGTGTTGCTCCAGCAGGGGAAGAGGTGACCCCCTGTTCTCCCTTGTCTTTCTCCTCACCTTGCTGCTCCATGATTCACTACCTGGACTGGGGGTTGGAGCCTGGCCCGTGGTGGAGCAGGGGGAGCTGGCAGGTTGCAGGTGTTACATCCCAGCGCTGGGTTAGAGCTGGGCCTGTCCCAGGTGCCCTGACCATGCCCAGAGGATCTCGTAGCCCATGCCCAAAGCCCAACGCCTGTCTGTGTGTGTCACTCGGGAGCTTAGAGCTCCCAGGGTGGGCTCTGCTGGTGAAAACCATGTTTCCTCTTCTCTCCCGAGTGTTGCTGTTCCTCTGATGGCTCAGGGGGCTGTGCGTTTTCCCTTTCTTCCCAGTTTGTTTCCTGTAATGTGGTTTACAGTCCCTGCTTACCCCTGTGTGTTAGAGCGAAGAAGCTGAAGGGTGAAGTGGCAAACCCTTTTCTTGAGTGTTTTTAGCTTTTTTTAATTGCCTCTCCATGTCTGTCCTGACCTTGGGAGTGCTGTTGAAGCCATCAGCAGCCTCCCCCCTCCAAACTCATCCTGGTGTCCAAGCAAGCTCACCAAAGTGGCTTTGTGGCTCCTGAAAGGACCTGAGCATCGGGAAAGGTTCGCATGGACCATGCGGCCCAAGCCCCGCAGATCCTGCCTCTTGCCTTACCTGTACAGATTCCAGACAGACCTTAGATCCGAGACAGACCTTAGCTTATCTCAAGGCAAACTTGGAGTTAATCCCAAAGCAAACCAAAGGACAGCGTCACATCCCCGGGGAGTCACTGCACCAGGCTGGGAGCTCAGCCCTAGATTGCACTAACAAACAGGAGAACCAACCCCATGTCACCCACGTTCCTGCTGGCTGGAGCCGCTCACTGAAACGAGGGATCTGCATTTTTCCAGTCTTTTGAGGCTGCTGAACTCATGTTCCAAGGTGGAAATGTCTTTCTGCTTTAATGTCCTGTCAGTGGAAGCAACACTCCCTGTACTCCCTGGGGATGCAGGGCTGGTCACCTTACTCCAGCTGCCACAGGCTTGCCTGGCCTGGAGAGAGAACCCCACAGCATCCAGTCCCTTACATGGAATAATTTGGGAATGCAGGAGTTCTCCAGAGATTTGCTCTACATACCAAAGAGGGGAACGTGTCTGGAGGTGATGGCTTGAGGGCATGACAAGGTCTGGCACCTGCCACAGCAGGCGAGTGTCTCCCTGCTGCT